GCCCCATCGCTTCAAGGCAAAGTGGACTATAGCACCATTCAGACGTCGCGAGCTGCTATGTACCTCGCAGGCCAGGGCGGCTGGCCGCCTACCTGGTCAGCTTTTGCTTCGAACATATGGTAGGCAAAGTCAGATCTCCCTTGTATAGTCAAAGGCCTACTCTCACCGACACGCATCGCCGCTTCACGCTTACCACCCACCGACACTCATCAACGCTTCACGGCCACCACTCACCGACACTATCGACACTCATCGCTGCTCCACGACTTGCCCCCTTTCCAGGACATCTCGACTAGATTACTACACAGACGACACCTTTAGGGACATTGAAGATGGACGATCCCGGGCTGCAAGCTCCTCAGGCGCCCGGTATTCTCCAGCCTCCCAAGCCAAGGACTGAACAGCTCTATGGAGCTTTGTCGACCGAAGCGCCTCGTCGACTAGTGAGTGACCTCGAATGGACCCGTGGTCATTCATACACGCGGCAGAAAAGGACTCCTGTTGCATATGCTGACCCTTTGGGCACTTCAGCATTCACAACTGCTGCGCCTTTGCCGCGAAGAAGGCATATACTTTGTCGAGAGTTTTGTTGGCGACTTACGAGAGTTCCATGATTCAAACTTACAGATGATCACCACAATTGAGGTGAGCGATGCGGTTGTGATTTCATCGTCAACTGTATGCCGAGAGCTGAATCTCGTCGTATCTTCCCACCTCCAGATGTCGCGCACCACCGTGAATGCTGTCGGCCCTATGAGCACCAGCCTAAGGCCCATTCGCGCCAAATACAATAAAATTATCAACATCATCAATGCTCGACAAAGGGCAGCAAGAGGATGGAGAGCTCTTTCGAGGCGCGAAAGCTTGGACAAGGTTGGCGAAGCTGCCTTCTGGGCTGCTTTAGGTAGTGCAGCAAACATCACCTACAGATCCTTGATGGAAGAGGGAAGACTGCCAAATGCAGACAGGGTGGTCAGGGAGGTGTGCCACGATGCATTCAAACCAGCTGCGCGAGAGCTGGGAAACAATTGAAGGTAGCGGCCATTGCTGCTGCCCGAGGTCAGGACCCTCAGGACCCTCAGCACCCCTAGCGCTGTCCGGGTTCTTCGTTGCTCATGCGGCTATGTTGATGGTGAGTGAAACGCCGGTGCTTGTACCAGCTCATAGCGCCATCGCTAATCATCCGCCACCCCCTTCGCCTCTCACGGTGCAGCCCGTGGTACTTTCGCCCTCGTCGTAAAGCCGGAGAAGACCCTCCTCCCTTTGAGATCAAACTACCGACGCACGACCTTTATGACAAAACCTTGGACAAAACTCCGCTTCTTGAGTCAGTCTCCTATGCTATTATCCCGGCGGAGCTCGAGTACGTGTCACTGTTCCTGG